GTGGAAGGAGGGCCATCTAATCACGTGTTCCTGGCAATCGTGTCCTGCGTCGATCCTCGCCACCCCCGCTTCTCGAACAGAGGCCACCCTTTTATCCCCGCGCCAGCGTGTCCTCATCCTTGGACACAATCCTCTTCTAGAGAGAACGGAAAGCCTTTTATTCGACGGCCGACTGGGGCGACTGAGACACGGCCTCTCTATCTCTCTCATTTTCTCTCTTTCTGCCTCTCTTCTCTTTTTCTCTCTCCGTCTCCTCTTTTTTCTTTTTTTTTTTTCTTTTTTTTTTGCACCACACAGACCGCCCTTTCACTATCCGGGGACGCCTCTTCAATCGGGCTTAGCCGCCCGGCGTAATTAAGCCGCGATTGAAAATTAATCATCGGATCGATTTCGTGCGTCGGCGTCGCTCGCGACTCCTCTCCGCGGAAGGAACGATAAAAAGATGCCTCCTTCTCCTCGACCCTTCTTTCCCATCGACTCCCGGGATATCGGGGGCGAACTCCGGGAGCCGGATGAAGGTGAAGGTCCTTTGATGTCGCGGGGCACATTTTCCTCTGTCCCTATCTCTGCGCGACGTGCAAGCTTCTTGCGCCAATTATCTCACGCCCACGAGAATCGTTATTTTTGCGTTTTATCAACGGTAATTTATTTCCTGCCGCCTTCGTCATGTCTTGTTTTCTTATAAGAGAATTTACGAGTGTGTAACCCTATCGCTCCTAGACAAACAACGGCATCTCAACGTGTCAGCATCGACATTAATAATATATTCATTAGAAAATATTAATGTTCTTATGGCTACAAGAAAGTTGCATATTAATAACAGCGAGTACATATTTTGCTGCTTCTTGTAATTCACTTGATTATTAATAATATGCAATCTTCGTTTTATTTCAATAGTATTCTTTAATAGTAACAAGATCGACGTGTTTATCAAATATTATATTTAGTTCTATTTTGCTTTCGATTATATTATCCCAGATATTTCGAATCGAGAAAACATTTTATTATCGTCAAATTATCTCTTCCATCATCTACCAGGCTCGGAGAGATTTTTTTTTTATGTCGAGACTTTTTATCATTATCCGTTGTCGCATTACTTCGTTATTACTCGTCGATTCTAGCGAAAGTCCAATATGCTCGCCGTTCCTCGCATTTACTTGTCCCACATCGCGAATAATCGGTCGAATTCACTTACCCGGAAGGGAAAATCGGAGCGATGGGATCGGCTGACTACGGAAAGAATTAAAGACTCGTCCTTGTCGGCAGTCTTCCAGCTTCCAGCTCGGAGCCGAGCCCAGACTGGGAGCTCAGACGGTCGAGCGAGTCTCGGTCTTCTCTTCTTCCTCATCCTCGCGAAATCCCAATAATCCGCGATGAGACACAGATTGAGTCCATGGACGGTGGAAAAAAGCGCACGGGGAGAAGCAGAGGGAGAAGATGGCGAAAGGGGGAAGGAGAAGGGAAGGGGGGGCGGGATGGGAAAGCGCGGTGCCGGGAGAGGTAGAAAGAAAGCTACGCTGCGCGACGGGAGAAGAAAATTGGAATCTTTCTGGAACGGAGGATGA